TCTCAAACACAGCTCAACACTGAGAGTGTTACCTTCCACTGCAGGCAAAGTTCAATCCCCCGGTCTGTACCAAGACTGTCCAGCGAGAACGCCACCCCTGCTGCTCTCGCTACTCACTCCTGCATGGACCCTGCCGGGCTGGCTCCCACTCTCCCTGCTGCACTTGAACTCCTCGTCCTTCTAGCTTGAGTCCAGTCTATTCTCCAATGGTCGGCTCCTTTACTTCCATCACACTGACACCTCTCTGGTTTCTCCTCCCACACAGCTGCCCCTTCCTTCTTCCCCAGCGCCCCACTGTGCGCACCTAACCAGATTCTGCTCTGGACTCTGCTTGTACAGGAGCCCGCTAGGCCTCACCCCAGCTCCGCCTGCTCTGCTGGGCCCCAGCTCTTGCGTTCCACCACTCCCTGGAACTTCTCCGGAGAGGAGAATTAAAACAGCTCTTACTGAATGCTTGCTAATGTGCAGAGCCAAAGTTCCCACACTTAGTGGGGTGCCCATGGCTTTTCACGCGGTACTTGCTGTCTGTAGTAGCCACCACGGGAAGACCAACTTTGGAAAGACAGGGTCTTACTGAAAAGAATGGCGTGTGATAAGATGTAGCAACCATGAATTACCTGGAGCTAGTGGTTCTTAAGGTGTCGACAGATGTCCCATACTGCTGTTTCTCCTGAAAACTTCTATGTAAAATATCCAGGGACACCTGGTTGGCTTAGTCAGCAGAGTATGTGACTCTCGATCTGGGGTTGTGTAAGTTCGAGCCCCACACTGGGTGTAGAGATTACTCAAAAATAAAATCTTAAAAAAAAATCCAAAGGTGCCCCTGTGGGTTGGCTGCCTTTCCCATGTATTATCATCTGATTTTTTTTTTTAATGTTTTTATTTATTTCTAGGAGAAAGAGAGAGAGACAGCATGAGCAGGGGAGGGTCAGAGAGAGAGGGAGTCACAGACTCAGAAACAGGCTCCAGGCTCCGAGCAGGCAGTCAGCACAGAGCCCGACGCGGGGCTCGAACCCACGAACCGCGAGATCATGACCCAAGCGAAAGTCGGACGCTTAACCGACCAAGCCACCCAGGCGCCCCCTTGCTTCTCTAGTTTTCTGCCAGTCCTGGTCGTAGGATCCAAGGCAGAAAGCATACAGCGGCTTTCCATGTTCCTACCAGCGGAACAGCCAACCTCTGCTCACTATAGGCTGGGGGAATGCTATTCCTGAACCTTCCTTTCGATCTCTAAGTAGGCTTTTCGACAGTTCTTTTCTATACCGAAATAAAACCCTGGAAAGGATTTTTTAACTCCACAGGAGATTTTTATGCAGAGATCAGGCTTAAAAAAACACGGTACATGTTCAATAAATATCTGTTGGATAAGTAAATGATTAGAGTATGATTACCTCAGGTTTGGATAGTCGTGATCAAATACAATTTTTGCTATAAACGATAGTTCATTTTTTTTCTGGCAACTGCTTGCCACGTGGGGAAATTATAAAGAAGTCCTACACTTGAGGGGATTATAATTTTACTTTCTAAGGCACCCAGATTCAAAACCTTAAGGGACATCTTTATCCTCATTGATGTCTCTGCCTTCCCAGATCCAAGCCCTGTTGCCGGACCTTATCAGTTTTCCCTTCAGAGTCTTCTTCTGAATCTCTGCCAGGCTCTTACCGTATCTAACACCTTGGACTATAATAACCTCCTGTGTGGTCTGTCACGATCTCTTCTTGGTGTCACCCACCTGCCACCACGCTATCATTTTAGTCTTACATGATCATGTGGAGAATATCCAAGTCCTGCTCATGAGCCCAAAGTGCCCACTGCCAATTCCTTAATTCAAGATTCTTTACAATTTGCTCCCAACCCACCTTTTCAATACTCTGTTTGCACCCATTTATTCATTCACTTGACATCTATCAAAAAATGCCTACCAAGGGCACTGAGGAGATGAAGGGAACAGTAAGGTGACCACAACAGTCCCTAAGGAGCTACGACACCCTCAAGGAGCTTACCGTCTTTAACAGGGGAAATGGACTACATGCATAGAAAACTCGAATATCCGGGAAAGTTAAGCGCAGTGACTTCCCCCAGCCAGGTGGCACGGGAAGTCACAAGTTAATTCTCACTGGAGGGGCAGGACATCTTGGAAGAGGCGGCACTTGATTAGGTCTTGGAAGGGAAGGCAGAGCTTCAATATGTGAAGGAGAACAAGTCAGAAGATCACTACCAAAACGAGCAAAAGAAGAGCGAGAAGAATGCAGGGGCCAAGAATGGTTTCCACACGGTGCATGTGCAGCAGACTAAGGGGTACCTCTGAGAAGGGAGGCTTAAGGCTAAATGACAGACAATTATGAATGCTTGGCCAAGGGCCCGGACTTTGATACTTACTCATTCGGCAAGCACTTATGGACTAACTTTGATGTTTATTCATTCAAAAAGCCCCTATGGACTAACTACAGAGGCCAGACCGCGGGCTCAGGACTAGGGATGAAGCGGAGGGGGTGACGGACACGGTCCTGGTCCTGGTGGACCTTACGGTTGAACGTGAAGGCAGTGAGGACCCACTGAAGATGCGGAACCAGAGGGCTGTCAGCATCAAAGTGGTACTTGAGAACATTCTGGCATCAGGGTTTACTAACTGCATGGGAGAAGAAACAGAAAGGAGGCCATTTGTTGCCTTAAGTATGCGGAGGGATGAGGCCCAAGACAGGGCAGGGGTAATGGAGGACATAAAGGAGTGGAAGTTATTGCAGAGGAAGACTATCAGGCGAGGACCTGAGTGGAGACAGAGGAGGGGGAAAGCAGGGAGAGGGAGATGCAAACATGAACCATAAGACTGGGCAGAAACCAGAACAGGGGGGGCGCCTGGGCGGCTTAGTCGGTTAAGCGTCCGACTTTTGCTTAGGTCATGATCTCGCGGTTCGTGGGTTCGAGCCCCGCGTCGGGCTCTGTGCTGACTGCCAGCTCGGAGCCTGGAGCCTGTTTCAGTCTGTGACTCCCTCTCTCTCTGACCCTCCCCTGCTCACGCTGTCTGTCTCTCTCTCTCTCTCCTAGAAATAAAATAAAACATTAAAAAAAAAAAAAAAAAGAAACCAGAACAGGGGCTGGCGCCGGGGCCGGGGACTGACTGGCTGGCGGGAGGAGAAAGCTGCTTGGGACAATGGTAATGGCTGTGTCTTGACAGAGGTTTGGTCACACAGGTGGATGCATTTATCAAAACTCACCAAATGGTATAGTGACCACCTGTCCATCTGCACGTAAGTAAAGTCTACCAAGAATAAAAAGCTGTGAAAACAAATACTGAACTTGACGATATGCAGGCTGAAGTGTTCAGTGATGAAAGTGATATCTATAATTTACTTCAAAATACTCTGAAGAGAAGGAATGGACAGACATATCATAAGGGAGACAGCAAGATAATAACTACAGAATCTCACTGGGTGGCATAATGTGTTCACTGTACCATTTCAAAGCTTTTGGTCTGAAAAATTTCATAAGGTGTCGAGAAAAATGATGAAGCAGACAGTCTTGCGTTTGGGTTGACTGGAAGGGCACAGAACATAGAAGCGGATGGAGGAGATGCGGGTTTGGGGATCTGGGGGATGATACTGATCAGCGACACATGGGTCTGAGCGACCCGGGGCAGCAGGTGGAAATACTTAGCAGGCCATTAGAAACACAGGGCCAGAGTTCGGTGGCTTTGTGGTGCTGCTTCCTAAACATCTTCCTGCCTCCTTGTACGCCTTTGCCCTGAAATCCTTTTTCTTCTGGAAGCTCTCTCCGACCACCCTGCCCTGTTGCATTCATCACCATAAGCTTAGTTTATGGCATTGTCATATGTTACTAGCATGGAAATTCTCAGGATAAACGGAATCTTACACAGAAAGATAGGATTTCATGAAGCAATTTTCAAATAAATGAATAAAACCTGACCTAGTATCTGACTACGCAGTTCTCAATGCTCACACTGATTCTTGGCTCGGAAGGTACGGTTTTGTTTTTCATTTCTGAGATATACATACTTAAAAGCCACTCTTTGCCGTGGGAAACATGACCGCTAGGCACAGGCTGAACGAAGCTCCCATTTCCACATTCTTTTTTTTTTTTTTTTCCCATTTCCACATTCTTAATACACTTGACCTTCTCCTTCTTAGCAGCTTCTCTTTTAGACTTTATCTGACATTTCATTTTGCAGAACTCTAAACAAAAGAAGCCAATGGTTGTCCTCAGGTGATGAAACTAAACTTTCTGACCTTTTTCTTTCCATGATTCTCAATTTCTAAATTTCTGCAATAGTAGTTCCTTTGATAACAGGGAGAAAAGTTTATTTTTTAAAGAAAACCTGTAATGACATAGTCACCAGCCCCTAAAGTACAACTGCAGAAAGCTTCTCGAGGTGCAGGAAAGGAGTTACACCAAACCTGCCGATTTCTCATTCCTATCTCCTCAGCAATCTGTGAGCTCCCTGAGGTCAGGAGCCACTTCCGGCTCGGCTCCGCCCCTCTTAACAGGCACAATAGCACAGGGCCTGGTAGACAGCAGGCGCTCACATGGTGAAATAACACACATCTGACACCAGAAAGTGCCTCCCCACCCCCCATGTGTGGAAAGCCATTCCCTTATTCGGTTAACTTGGTCGTTATTATTCTCATTTTGAAAATCTTTCCCAAACTAAACTCAGAGTACCGTTTAGTTCTCTCAACCGCCCCGGGCAGCCAGTGCTGCTGAGTGAAAGAAAGTGGGTTTGGCCCCCTCCGTGAATTCCAATTTCAAGGGTATCCCTCAACCTATGCTTGGCACAATGGGAGAACAGCTCTGTTACGAAAACCCATGAATAATTAAGATTGCTCTAATTTTTGCACCAGGCATGTTGGGCCACTGGAAATATTTGACACCTGACGCCACCCCTTCAGACGGGCCACGCTCCCCACGGCTCACCTCAGCCGCTGGTTTCCAAGTCCGCTTACTACCACTGTCGCTAACCCACCGCACTTTAAAGAATGGTTTACCTTTTCTCCTCTCTCTCTCTCTCTGTCTTTCTCCTCTTTTTTCTTTTTTTTCTCACCGTGCCCGTCCGCGTGGAGGCTGGGCAGTGGGGGGGGAGCGGCAGCAGCCCCAGTGTGTGGGGCGCTGGGCGGAGGGCCGGGGGTCACCGGGGCCTCTCCCGCTGCTGCGGCTGAAAGTCCCGAACTTCTCTTGGACTTGGAGTGTCTCTTCTCTTTATGCTTCTCCTTGTCCTTCTTCTTTTTGCTCTTCTTTGACTTCTTCTTCTTCTTGACCTCCCTGTAGGAATCATCTATCACTAGCTCCCCAGCCTCTAGCTCCCCACCAGAGGACGAGTCCGATTCTACTAAAATAGGTTCAAGTCCCGAAAGATCAAGGTTAGTACTGTGGGAGTCCGGGAACTGGGAGGCATCCGACCCCCCGCCTTCGGGGCCAGGAGAGGAATGTGGGTCCGAGGCGGACTTGTGCTTCTTCCGGGCTGTTCTCAGAAAGCTCTGTAACTCGTGTCCTAGGAGGAAAGCACCTTGCTCATCCCGAGCTGATTTCTTAGAGGATTTTTTCAACGTAGCCTGTTGAGAGGGGTACTGAAAAGACTCCTCGTCAACCGAGCTGCTTCCCTTCTCCTTTGGCGAGAGAATGAGCTTCATCTTTAAGCCGTCGGGCTCCCGAAGGGTCAGTGTCTCTGTGTTCACATACAGCGGTTTCATTTTTTTGGATTTGTGGGAACCACCGTCCTCCAGGGACAGTTCCCCACCGCTTCCACTTACTTTCTTCCTGTGGTGTTCCTTTCTACTCTCTGCATGACTCGAAGAGCTGGAGGACTTCTCCCCTGTCTTTTTGGAGGGCTTGGAGCCCGTGGCCAGTGGGGAAGTGATAGCTTTCAACAGGTCCATGGCTGTATCGGCAGACTGCGGGCTGGACTTTTTCTTTTTCTTCTGTGACGATTCCAAAGACGAAATATCTAGAAACAATCAAGAGAAGTCATGTCCACACGACAACCCGACTTCCAACAAGTTTCCTCTCTCACCCAAAACACTCACTAACACGAGGAAGAGGCTAAGAGAAATGATTTGAGGGGGGACCCCTTCAACGGATTCCTGATGACGCCCGTGCGCTTCTTGGCTTGGTAGATTCTGCCTGACCCCGGACACGGTTCTTGCCACTCAAGTTGTTTCTCTTCACTGAGACTTCACGAGCAACCAGAGAGAGAGCAGACCCAGAAGAACGGACTAAGCTGCGGGATTACGAGTAGTTACAACTGAGGTTACACTGCAGACAGAGTGTCATCTGTTTCTGTGTTCAGGGCAAGCCCGTTCTAGTAAAGGGTTAGTCTCATCAGCTATGCGCATAAGAGAGCTAAGAAAGGCTGGTCTTGTGACTGGATATGCACTGCACTGAGAAGTAACCCACAGGTGCAGGCCAGAGGGCCCGGGACTACATATGGCAAAAGGGATGCTGGGTAACAATGGGCAGAAGATAAGTGGATGATTGGGGGGAGAAGGAACCTGGTACCTGGTGTATCACAAATGAAGACTGTTCTTCTATGCTGAATCCTCCAAAATACCAGCCCTCCACCTCTCTCCTCCTTCACACTGGTTTATCGGCACTCAGAACAAGAACCACTGTCCTGTTAAATAGGCCACTGAGTCAGCAACATCTGGATCCCTTTCCCCTACCCCGACTCCAAGAACCAGTGATGTGTTCATCCCACCTGCTGCCCCTTCCCTCCTCACCTCCATAGTAGTAATCATCAGAGGAGTGCTTCCTCTTCTTCTTGTGCGTGTCCGTCCCCAAGAAATAAAGTTCGCTATCCTGGAACCGAAGAGGAAGAAAAATTGACCAACGAATAAGATGAGGACCAATTTTGTTTTCTGATTTCTGACTTCGGAAAACAAAGTAAAACGGGGGAAATACTGAGAATAGGCGTGAACAATGTTCACTTTAAAATAAACTTCTTTCTTCAAGAACTAGGAAACAGGATGTGAGATAGTTAAAAGCTCTCCTAATTCAAATGTGTAGAATTTACCTTTAACTTCTTCTTGGAAGAATTTCTGACCTGAGCAGCGATTTCTTCCTCTTCCCTTAAGAAATCTTTGTAAGAACGTTTCTTTTCTCGTTGGCTCCGGCCAGCAGCTAGTCCTGCGTCCTCAGAGCTGTGATCACCATCAAAGCAATCTGAAAGCCAGGTTCATTTGGAAAGGAAACGAGAAAAGATTCAGTAAGTCACAACCGAATCACCACACACAGAAGGCAACAGGCCCTCCATTTCCAAGCTAAAATGTTTCGAGAGGTCCACTGGAATACAGGGCTAGGATCCAAGGGGACAAGTGTATTTCTTGATGACCTGGCTGCAAATACAAGCACCGAACCTGAAGATACAATGCTTCCATGCTACGCAAAGCCCAATGTGCGTCCTCAGACATGGTTTCTTGGTTGTGATTTGGCAGGTGGACACGGACGCGCAGAGGTAAGGCTGCAAAGAATAAGGGTTCATGCGCTGTGCTGCTCTGTGGGAGTCCAAATCGTGACTCCTACCCCACACTCCTGAACACTGGAGCTGGCAAGGACCACGAGTGCTGCAGGGGGTCACCCCGATGGACCAGAGATTTATATTTCAGACTCTCGGGTTGGAACCCTGTCCCAGTTTTCGCTTCCATGGGCCCAGCTGGGGGATGATGTGGAGGCTGAGTGTCATAATACGGCTCGGGAGTCACTCGGGAGTCCAGGCCATGATGGCCGGTCCTGGTCTCTATGTCCATGGGCTGCAAGGATTGAAGAGGAAACCCCCTTTGGAATGCTTCTCAGATTAAGGGGTCATACCTTCTTTCTTCACGGAGTCATCATAAGCCATGGCGTTCCTGCAGGGCCTTTGTGAATGTGTCACTGTGTCCAGGCTCCTTCCCGTCTACAGGACCAGGTCTGAGAAACAAAGAAGGAAAACCCTCCTGTAATGCGAAATCACTGTGGAGAGGCAACCTTCCAGATGGAAATGCGTAGTGATCCAAGGGCAGTCTGGAAGGGCAGCAAGAAATAAAGGAGTGTCTTGTCACCTCCTCATTCTGCTTGTAAACATACTGGGGTTGAGAGTGCACGAAGTGTACTGGGCTTAATTTGATTTGACTTATGAGTTAGAGTTGTGGTTTGGTGAAGTATATAAGATACCTCCCACAGAATAAAAAATACCTCAAAATTAAGGAGAATTTCTGAAATGCCAACAGGACTGACAACACCGAGATGGTAAATACTGACATTAAGTCAGAGGCATAGGTTCAATCATGGTTACGAAATGCACAGATAAAGCAGGATGCAGAGGAAGACAGATTACAGCAAACATTCCAGACCATAAAATCCTACCATGTGGATTGGCGGCAGGCTAAAAATCTATTGTACTGCAGTTTAAACAGAAATGATGATAACTCGATAGAGATGTTAAGGACCTTTAAAGCGTAACTTTTTGGTATGCATTTTGTTGGGCTACATGAATTTGCTCAAAACTGCAGAAGTATAAAGGTAAGTATACTTCTTACATCAGTTGGCCACATGACAGCTTTCAAGGCTATCAAGCGTCTCTTAAAGGCTAGGTGGAAATCAGGAAGAATTATCATTTGTCCACTGGTGGTAAAGTTTTTGTGATTATTAAGATTTTCACTGATCTGAAGAGTTACTGTAATTTAAATGTTCTAAGTATTATTCTGAAGTTAAAAAAATTTTTTTTGACATTCAAGTTTATACGTCTACTTTGACTTTGACAATGACAAGTTGTAGACTGCACTCTAGGATTAAGTTCTTTGAATACTTTAAGGACAGGTAATGTCACAAGTCCTGCAGGAAGTCTTTGCAGGAAACTTAAAAATGACAGACTAAATATATGGACAAGTGTTCTCATCCAGTTACTGAAATGCTTAAAGGGTGATCGGATTGGTTATTTATTTAAATTTCACTTTATCTTCATTACTTTAAGTGGATTTAGAAATGCTGAATGGCTCTCTAGAGAGACATTGCCAATCCCTTTAGGTGGGCATGGGGATGGGTAATACTGAAGCATGTTAACTCTTGTGACAGAGAATCTGATTAACGGGGGAATTTTGCTAAGAGTTGCACTGAAGATAAACGAAAAGACTTAATCGCACGAGTCAGATAAAATACAACGCGTAGACATGCCTAAGTTGAACGTACAAAGAGAAAAAGCATTGCCAAGAATGACTTACAAGGAACATTAAGAAGAGTAACATAAAAAAGTACTTCTCCACTTCCCTGAGAATGAAGAATGGAGTTGGTCAAAGTTAAGAGAATCTACAGCAAAGTAAAGAAACCAAATGAACTGGATTATTTTAGCAGTAAACTGGAGAACTGCTTGCTCAGAAGCTTGTCATAAGAAATGAAAGCCATACAAGGCCAGATCTCATGTAAAATACGAGGCACCTTGCATCACTGTAGCTAGATTTCCTTCGATGTTCCAGTATTCAACTTTCTCAGGTAGAAATCACTGCCCTCCCCTCTCCACACAAGTGGCGGACTCTGCTAGTGGTGAAGGAAGGGGGAATGTCAGCGGGAATTCTGTCCATTCATTTGAAAATAGTATACCCTCTCACTGGCACTAAAACATACTGAATTTAGCAGAAAAAAAGGTAAAGGTCCCCTTAGTTTTCACAGGCTGGTAACGCCAAGAAATACAACTTGAGACCTGGAGTTTTCTATGTTTTTCAGGCCAAATGAATTTTGGCTAAGAATGTTTGAGAAATAATAAGGGGCAAAGTCTTAAAACATTTGGTATCATAAATACAGCCATCAACCTGGTGTCAACTTCAAGAACAGGCACTTCTACAGGCCCTGAGATGTATGGATAGGCCTTCTTTTTTAGTAACATCAAAACTGACACAAACCAGAGTTGAACGGTCTAACAGAATGGGAATAAGTACCTTTGAACACGGTACCAGAAAGAACACCATGATGTGACTTCTGAGCTGTGAAGTGTTCATGGTCTCCTAACCCATTGCTTTGGAAAACTGGTGGATTTAAAAAGTTGTGAAAGGGGACAGAAAATTAGGAGCTGATCCTCAGAGGCACGGGCAAACACAGAAAACAGGTGCTGGTGTTAGTGTTACATACTGGAATGAGGCCTGCTACTGTTTAAATTTTCAGAGAAACACTGAAGAACATTTTATAAATTACAGGACTAAATAACCTGTAGAGGAAAAAAAAAAAAAAAATGAATGGGGCCTGAAGGCAAGGCTGATTCACTACAGAACCGGAACAGCTAAGAGCTTAAAAAACTTAAAACACAGTGAACTATGTTGCTTGCAGCTTGGACAGACTGATGGACCTTGAATTTCTAGATTCTTTAAAATCAAGGTATTGTTGCAACTCAGGGGTTAGTTTGGTTGCTGACTCACAAAGGAAAGAGGAAACCAGATAAAGAAGTCTCAAGCAATAGTGTGGAAGAAAGGCAGAGTTAGGACAACATTTATATAGGATCAGCTGACCCCTTGATATTCCTTCCAGGTCCTGAATGTTATCCATGATAAATTCAGAGTTCAGGGTTAGGCAGCAGATTGTGGGATTAACAGAAGTGAAAAATATTAGGCTTGATTTTCACATTAGAAAACGAGGCTGTAACTAACATGAGATGTTGGCAGACGAAAACAAGTGTTAAAACCCATTCTCCTGAATTCCATCCTTTTAGAGTTTATAGAATTCAATGTTGTCAACTTCAAGAGGCAGGGGTAGTTTTCACAATTATGTTCCTCTCTGTGTGCTATGAAATGACAATGTAAGTGAAAGTTCATTATTTCATGTTGCTTATGGAAGCCAGAAACAGGCCATCACAAAAAATGTGTACTTATGCAATACGCAAATTGTTAGGTGGCTCTTCTGGGACGCTTCAGGACTACGGTGAAGGGGAGTTTTGTTCAGGTACAGCTTTCGGGATTACCAAAGTGATGAGTGAAAAACCAAAAAGCATCTGGTATAGAACTTTCTTATTTTGCAGGTCCAAATGAGAAGTATTGAAAAAACAGTTTCAGAAGGTGATTCTTTTTCTTTTCTTTTTGCTTTTTTTTTTTTTTTTTTTTGCGGTAATCTGAGCTCCAGCAATGGTTAACAAGTTTCTTCATCCCAGAATGTGAGCGAGTCCTGAAAACGAGGGAACCAAGTAAGCCCCTTGATCTGAGCAGAGAGCGAAATCCTGAAATCCGGGTCTAGTCCGCGACGACAGCCTTGTTCCAGGGTCCCTGTTCTCGTCCAGCCTTCCCTCCAGGAATTCAAGGGGCCCGTCGGCGCAGGAAAAGGAAGGTGCACATCCAGCGGCCGCCGCCGGTTTCTGAATTTGCTGCTGCGGTGGACCTCGGGCGCTGTCTGGTCGTTTTTTGGAGAGATCTCCTCCAATCTCGCAAGGCAGCGACTCCGAATTCCTGGCACGCCGTTCTCCAGGAACCTACCTATGCAGCACTCACAGCCCCTGCCAGCTCTGGAAACTGCAGAGATCCCCACAGCCTGGGCTGCGGATTGAATCCTCTCACTGCGTGGCCCCGGAGCCGGACCACGACCACCGCACAGACAGGCTGGCCACACTTTTCCAGAAAACCACCAGTGCAAATTTTGACAAAGCTTTGTCCAATCAACAGGCTTTCCTTTGACTGAGTTTTTTTTTTTTTTTTTTAAATTTGTCCTGCTATAAGGGGACATAATCGGCCACCGGCTTAACCGGCAGAGGGAGGTGGGAGATGCTGTCCCCCCGATGCGTGACATGAAGTGAATCTACAAGTAACAGCTGCGGGGGGAAGCGGGCCTGTACGGGGAAGATCGCACTACGAACGCACGTCCCGACTGGGTCGCCCGCAAAGAGGACACGCAACACGGCGTTATTTACACAGAGAGCCCCCGGGACCACCCTTTCTGCGGTCCCCACGCAAACCAATGGGATTCTCCCGGCAGTTTTGCAGCAACAGCTAGTTCAACAAAGCTCTGTGAAGAGGAAAAGAAGAAAGCTCCTCGCATCCTCTCCGCCCGCCGAGGGCCCAGCCCTCCCGCCGCCCCGGCCCCGCGACTCCCTCGCCTTGACAGCCCGGGGACCCCGCACCCCGGATCCCGAGCCGCACCGCGGCCCCGACCCGGGTCCCCGCGGCCCCGGCGGCCTCCAGGCGCCCCCGAGGGCGGAGACGGCCCGGGCAGGGGGAGGGGCGGCCCCGGCCCGCAGGCCCCCGGGGCGGCCGCACGCCCCCTCCCGGCCCCGCAGCTTTTCCCGCCTTCCCCATTTGAACAGCTCCCGCCCGCCTTCCTTCCGCGGCCCGCTCCAGCCCCTTCCCGGGGGCGGACTGCGGCCGCTACTCCAGTCCCCGGCTTGGCCCCTGGGCTAGGCCGCGCCGGGCCTGAGGCGCCCCCGCGGCGGTGTCGCGGGCCCCAGCGGCGGGTGGCGGCGGGGCGGGGCCGCTGCCGCCTCGGGGAGGGGGCCCAGCCCGGCCTCGTGGGGGCTCCGCTCGCCGCTACCTTCACTCAGCTCGCCCGGATCCCGCCTCAGCGCCGCCGACCGCCGCCATCTTGGAGAAGGAGAGAAAAGCGCGAGCGGCCAGGGAGCCTCAGTCGAGCCCAGAGCGCAGGCTCCCGCTCGGGAAGGCGAATCGCGCTCCTGACGGAGCGCCGAGCGCATCGAAAGAAACGCGCTACTGGCTGAGCCCCGGAGCCGGAATTGATTGAGAACTTGCTGTGAGCCAGGCGTGGGCTCGGAGCTTTACGAACATTATTATCATTTAGTCCTCGCTGCATCCCTGTGAGGTAGGTTTGGTCACATTTTGCGGATGAGAAACAGGCTCAGAGAGGTTAAGTGACTTGCCCGACCGTACACAGGTAGTTGGAGGAGGAGGCAGGTACTACTCCCAACTCTTGTGATTCACAATGAAGTGAACTTTCTGCAAGGCTATGCCATTTCCTTCGAGAAATTTTCATCCATAAGTGGCGTCTCTGCAAAACCTTGACCGTGCAGATTAATAGTGCTTATTTGGAATTTGGCATTTATGTTTGAATGCTTGGCGTATTTCGGATGAGGTGGGAGAACTATTTTTCTAACAGTGAACCGTAAAATAATATGCACGGTGAGTCATCATCTGCATTTCCCCTCACATATTATTTGCATTTAAAACTTGGAAACAGTCTTCGAACAAATGAAGAGATGCCGCACACAGGAGAGACAGAGGGTGTTTCTGATTTGCTCTGGAGAATTTGGACCAATAGGTAGAAATTCCTGTGTGAAGAAGGTCTTGGCTCACTACGAAGACAAACTCGTGTTTCTAGAGCAGCTCAATGTGGTTGACTCCCTTGTAAGACAGTGAGCTCCCCATTATTAAAGCAATTCAAGAAGAACTAGGGTCCTAGTTGTTGTAGAATGGAGAGAGGTTAGAGATCTAGATTGGTTTGTAGAGTCGTGAATCCCCTGACACTGCAAAATTACATGTTTGTGCACATGTGTGTTTTTCTGGGTTTAGATCCTATCAAAGGCTAGGAACCCTTATCTTTCTGGGCTTTTGAGTCCAGAATTGGAAGGGCTGCTTGAAGGAGTTTGTACTCATGCTGCTCACTTTGCAGACAGAAATTGAGACCAAGAGAAGCAGACGATTTCACTTACGACGCACTGCCAGTTAGCCATCAGATAAGGATTAGAAGGCAGATTCTTTGACTCTTGGTTCAGTGCTCTTTTCACTGTAAGATGCTCTCTCTCCCTCTGCCCAGAGTAGAATATCGGATTCTGTGTAATCATTGCTCTAAGCAGTTGTGAGATGCTGAGATGTTAAAACATCGGAGACAAAGTTGTAGAATTTATTCTCCAAATGTAACCACGAATAGTTAATAAACCTGCCATCATGGTCCTTTTCTGTTCATCAAAAATAGTCAGTGAGTTTCACCAAAAGTTATGGGATTGCTCTTCTGGCATATCCTAACTGGCATTAGGCTTCCCTGTGAGGTATTTAAGAGCCGTGAGAATGTGTTTTCATGCATGTTCGTCAGTGTTGGTCATGATGTTTTCGGTTGGAGGCAATGTAATCCCAATTCAAAACAGTTCTCCAGAAAAGGAGGATTTATTGGTTGATAGGCATGGCTGGATCCAGGGAGGAGCTTAAGTTTTTGGAGAGAGGTTCTTTCTTGTGAGTTGGCTTTATTCTCGGGTTCCAAGTGATGAGTCCACCTCCAGGCTTCATTATCCTTGAGACGACCCATGTCCCTGGACAGGGACTTTCTTTTACTCATTTGTTTTGGGAGACTATCATTGCCTGAATTAGATCGTGTATCCAAACAGAAAGCAATCACTATGAGCAAAGGCATGGGGTATGCTGATTGGCTAGATCAGGTCACATACTCACCCTCTAAAGCAGGATAAACTCCAGGAAAATCAGGTGTTATTGTCAGAAGGGTGAAGGCGTGTTAGGTAGGCAAAGCCGACAGCTGTCCGCCCAGCTGTACCACTAGCTTGGACCTACTTGCTTCATGGGTCCCGTTTGTCCTGTCTCCTGAGGTTGGGCACACCAAGTAATTGCCCATCTTAACCTTCTGTAGCCCGGAAGTCTATCACTCCTCAGTCTGCCCTCTCCTTTCCCGTCTCCCAGTCTTGTAGCGCTGTCTGTGCATTCATTCATTCATTCAACAAATATTTATTGGAAACATGGCTTGTGCGAGACACTGTCCTAGGTGGTCTGACCCCCCCCCCCGCCCCGGGGCTTACATTCTCATTGGACTGGGGAGCAGAAAATAGATAACACATTAGGTGGTGATCAGAGGTGGAGAAAAAAATGCCTGGGAGGCTAAGAAATACCAGGAAGGAGTGGAGGTGGAGACTGTTATTTACATTAGCGGTCAGGAAGGCTCCTCTGATTGAGACTTGATTGAGACTCCTGATTAAGGAGGCAGAAACGGAGGCCGGCTCCTCCCCAAGTGGGCTGGTGGTGGAGGCTAGGAGGCCGTAGCTCTGGGAACGGATGCTAGGCCTTCCTCTGAGCCTTGACGGAAAAATATTCTCACTGAATATCCTGCCATGGTTCTTTAATTTTTGCAACTCGGAAAGAAAGAAAGGAGGACTGCTTGGTAGCCCGAGGTGGAGAAGGGCCTGGTCACGGCAGGCTTTGAGGGTAAGAACGCTGTCCCATGAAAACAAGAAGGTGGCCTCTGAGATGTGTGAAGGGTGGGTGCTCCCTGGGCCTGGGGCTGGTCTCTGGCCCACGTGACCCAAGGAACCTGCCCAGTGCAGGGTAGTAGCAGGTGACCATTAAGTCCTGCTTGATATCTGGATGTGTTCTTCTCCACGTTGTTTTTCCGTGCTCTGTCCTCTGCGGTCATCTTTTGAGCAGCTTCGTTGCATCAGGCCCCATGGGTATGCTCAGGACAGGCCCCTTTGGGCTGGGAGCAAGCACACAGACCTAATTAAAACTACTGTAAGTGACAAGAAGTTGTGGCTAGTGTGTGAAAAACCACCAAGAGCCAGAGAAAGGCTAGCCATCTGGGCCTCCCAGGTCCCTCCCTCTTAGCTCTGTTCTCTCAGGTGCACCCTCCTCATGGGCCTGGGGTCATGGCCACGTGTAGCCCAGGCTTCTAGGCTTACCATCGTGTGACCAAAGAGGAAGGAGGGCTTCCCCACACCAACTCCGTGGGAAGGAATCTCAGGCAAGAAGGATTGGTTGGCTTGGGGTCAGGTGGTCATTCCGTGCTGTGATGGATCATTTCTGGCAGAACCATGAAGTAGGAGTCACTTCCCAAAAGAACAGAGGCATCTATTCTGGGATGACAAATATTAACCCTCTGTGTGCACCCATTTCCTTGTCTGGAGTGTGTCCCCCGCCCCCTACTCGACCGCTTTTGCCAGCTCTATACCCAGAAAGCGCCTATTTATTCTACATGATGTAGCTGGAATGCCCCCGTCCAAGTGCTGCTCCGTGTTCCCACACACTTGATGACATGTCTACCACCGCACTTCCCAAACGGGTGACAGCAATCACCTGACATCCCTCCTTTCCCTTCCTCAAGGCCAGGATCCAAGTCATCTTTGTCCCTCCAGCCACATGCAGGTATTCAGCAAATCCTTTTGATTGGATGTTGTTGAATGAAGAGTAGGAAAGACCATTTTTCTTGGGATTCAGGGCGACAGAGGTGCAAGCTGCTGGGGAGAGTTATAGAAGGTGTGGCGGTGCTGGGTTTACCCGCCCCATCGCTGCTCTGCAGCGGATGCCACGGCTCAGACTTCAGGGGTGGCTGTGTAACACCAGCCTGGTGATCATAATACCCAGCTTGAGCTTTCTGGGGGCTGTGTCAAAACTTCAAACGCAGGAGCTTGTATGAGAAAGTGAGAAGACACCAAGAGAGCTTGAAGGCACTCGGTGCCTGCATCAGGCTGTCCCCTGCCAGGGATGCATGAGCCAGGGATCTCCCTCACCTGTTGGTGTAAGCTGGCTGGGGGCTCCTCTGTCCTATGGAGCCCAGAAGAGCTCCCCAGTCCCTGGGCTTCAAGAAAGAGGAAGCCCTTGAGCTGGTCCTTGCCTGTGGGGTGTGGTTGGTGGAATAGGGTGGGAGGGCTTTCCTGGTGGAAGAGATTGGGTAAGAGGAGGTTCAGAGGCTCAGGGCTGCACCATATGCTCAGGATGACAAGCAGTGGGGTCAGGCATGTTGCTGTTGGGGGGAGATCGGAGCCACATGGAGAGAATGCATAGTCTGGAAGGGCTGGGCCAGCAGCTGCCCTCTCCCCCGACCTGGCTGTCTCTGCCCTCCACTGCGCATTTCTAGCTGATGGTGGTGATCTTCTGTTTCTTCTTTCCTTCTCCCCCAGCCTCACAGGAAAATATTTTAAACTTGGAAGTTCAAAGTACAAATATTCATGGACCCACTCCCAGACTAAACAACTGTTAACATTATTCTCCTTATATTGGCTTGTTTTAAAATGTTATTGAATTAAAGAAAAATCTTTTTTTAGGAAAGAATACATGAAGACATTTTGAGCCCCATCTCTATCCCCAGCACCAATAATAGCTCATTCCCTTCTGTCTTTCCTCAGAGGAATTGAAATTGGTGTGTGTTCTTCCTGTCCATGTTTTGATCACATATATGCATGAGACACAAAGTAGCCTAATTAACGATTAAGGGTATTAACTCAGGAGCCAGATTTGCTGGGTGAAAGTCTAACTCTATTACTTTCTTTTTTTAAAGTATTTATTTGTTTTGAGAGAGAGCACATGCACATAAGTAGGGGAGGAGAAGAGAGAAAGAGAGAATCCCAAGCAGGCTCTGCATTGTCAGCACAGAGCCTGATGTGGGGCTCAAACTCAAAAACTGAGATTTTTATGACCTGAACTGAAGTCAAGAGTTGGATGCTCAACCGAATTGGAGCTCAACTGTATTACTTTTTGCTGTGTAACCTTGCGCAGATTCTAGATATCTCTGGGTCCCAATGTCTTTCTTCTCAAAATGGATATAAGGAAAGCAAAGCCCTTACACAGCAGTGCCTAATACCTGGAAGGTATTATACTGTATATAGGGATTATATGTGTTCATTACTATTATGCAGGAATAATATATGGTGTTTTGTTGTGTTGCATTGTAACAGTACTGTTTCACAAAGCTATGTAAGTGGTACAGGATCATTTGGTAGCAATTTGTGGGGATTTTTTTTATTTA